TTTTTATATTTTTTTTATTAAAAATTATACATAACCATTAAAAATTCTTTTAACGAATAATTGCAATCAGGAGGTTAACTTAATTGTTTATCATTTCTAATAAAACTATACTTTTATAATTAACTTATATTTTTTATGTTCACCAATCATATATATTTCAATCATTTGGATTCACTTCCACTTTTCAAATGCAATTTATTTCATTTGTACAATTAATGCAACTTAATAAATTAAGATATTTATGAAAATGATGAGAGTTCATTTATTATGATTTGATTATTTATGTAAGATGAATAGATTTCATTAATTATGATCAGCAATTTATATTAGAAAACAGTCAAAACATCTATGAAATCACACATTCATCGAATTAAATGGACGGTTAAGATTGAATTGTATTGGTTGTATAAATGTAAAAAGTTGTATAATTACCCACTTATATATATTGCACTTACAATATTACATATAACATTTGTTAAAAAAATAAAAAAAAGATCACTTGTAAATCATTGAGACATGATTCACCGAATCCACCATCTATCGAAATCATCGTCATGACTAGAACTATTAGTTGAACAGAAACTGAAAAACAGCAGTTCCCGACCAAGTTCACAAACCATTCGAGGCCCGGCAAGAATATCGCGGCACAAGGGGCACGTCGTGTGCCTATATTCGATACAGCGGTCGAGGCAACGTTTGTGAAACAAATGATCGCATCTGAGGACTCTGATCTCTTCATCTTCTTCTATGTCTGACAAGCAGACTGCACACTCAACTGGCTCCTTGCTGGACCACTGCAACTGAGGAAGCCCTAATTGGCTCTTTTGAGGAAGATGATGAAGCTGCTGTAAGTTATGGTGATTAAAGAAACAAAGATGAATCAAGATATCCCATGCCCATATCAAATAAGCAGTTAATGACGCAATAAAACTAGATATCGTTGATATACAGAACATTTTAGGTTCTTCTGGCTAGCTTTTTGAAGAGAGAGAGAGAGAGAGATGAAGTGATATGTTATTTAGCCTATTGTCTGTACGCACATATATATACATGTGTGTGTATATATATATATATATATATATATATATGAAGGATTTTGGAGACCGGAAAGAAAAGGGATGCTGAAGTATATAGATGGCGTATTTTTGTTGACCAGTAAACGGTACAAGGATTAAAATAGTATATAATTTTATATAATATTTAGGGGTGCTGAAATAATATAAATTCTGTGAGAATATAAAAAAAAGGTTAGGAAATAAAAATTTGCAAAAACTTCATTTAAGTATGCAGATGTGAACCAAGGCTATATATTATTAGGTTAACAAATATATTTTCAAATGAATTTTTTCAATGATATATATATAAGGTTTATCTTTTTATCTTATCACGATATTTAATTTTTTTATTTAAATTTCCCTATATATGTATGGAGAGAGAGAGAGAGGGGAAGGAACGTGTGATAATAAGAGATAAGGTGATAAATGTATACTTAAGAAGAGATTTGAATCCTTGATCAATTTTAATTCTACCTACCCAATAAATTATGTTTGATACAGGAATTGATGTGCATCTCATTACTGTTGATTTTCAATTATGATTGATTCTATGGTGATTGGTGGAGAACCATTATTACCCTTCTTACCATAATTTCCACCGGAACTCAACCCTATATGTATATATATATGATTTATTATGCAACCATTTATATTTGTATAGCCAATCAAACGTCCATTTAATTTGATGAATATATGATTTAATAAAAGTTTTGATTATTTCATAATATAAAGTATTGATCATAATTAATGTACTCTAGTCATCTTCCAAAAATATTCAAATCATAATAAATAAACTCTCATCATTTCCATAAATATCTCATTTAATTGAGTTGCATTGGTTGTGCAAATGGATATAGTTGCATTTGCAATATACTATATATATATAGGGGCCTAATCAAATGAGAATTAATTACTTTGTGGTAACTGTGAGAACCAATATTAACCACAAATCAATAGATAAATTATGAAATTTATAATTTTGGCAATTTTGAATTAAAATATTAATGCAAGGATATTTTTGGTATTTTAAAACTTTATTCCCTCCTCTCTTCTCTCTCCGGCCACTGTCCGTCGGCCACCGTCCTCCGGTGATACTACAATGGTATC